GGACATCAGATGCTCACTGTTAACTAACTCTGGTTACTTTTAATGGAGCGGTGTCTCTGCAAAAATAAACAAATAAAATAGAAACAAATAGAACACATTGCACACATTGTTGTCTGAATGCTCAGGATGGAAAAGGAGACTCATGTTATCTTGTTTATGTTCATACATAAATTCCCTGCACCCCTGAAAGGCTGAATTATAGATTATTCTTCTGTGTTTGTGTCGTTTAAACACAAACCTCTCTGCCTGCGGAAGGTGACTCAACCCTCCTTCTGCATTTTGTTGCTTATCGGTCTCTTCAGATCAGTAAAACATTGGCGAGACAGATATGTAATGACTCAGGTGCAGCTGAGTGCAGCCAGATTATCACATCACCTCTGAGTCCACTGACTGCTGGCAGGCACTCAGTCTGCTCAGCAGCGCCATGTGACCTAAAAGTTAAATATGTACGGCCTTATCAGATCAGAGGGATACAGTTCATATGGCAAGTACATGTGTTTTCATCTTAGGAGTAAGTCTACACCAAAAGGTTTTACACATATTACACAGATAAGTTGTTTTTTTAAATTAAATTCACAAAAACATGATAGAATTCAGAGCAAATAAGGAAATTAACACATACAAAAAGACTAAAAACACCTTCCCACCAGCCCAAAATACAAAATCATACAAGCAGAACATATATTAACAGGCCCAACAACATAAATAATCAACAAAACATCAAAGAATTAATATAAAAAGTAAGAAATAAAAAGATATTAGTACACACTAATAATACAGAGAAATACTAATATTTTACTTACAGACTAATAAAGAAAAAACATTTGCAGCATCTCAAAATACATTTAAAACATGTTTTGTATAATACATCCAGCAACGAGGGGATCACATCATATAATGTGTATGTAAACCGACCCAGACACACTGAACAACATTTATCTGACCCAAAAAATAAACAAAAACAACAGATGTTGAGACTGTATAAATGCCAGACAAACAACAACCTTGCAGTTCGGTTATGTTATAGACTTGAAAATGAACAAACACAAGAACTCTTAAGTCACACGAGGGAACATCAAAGCACTTTTTTATTGGATTCAACATCAAACTTCAACCTCAGGAATCACCTGCCAAACATCGGCTCTCACTGCAGCTGTGCTACTTTTCATAATGGAGGCACTTTCTCTCCTGCTGGGTTTGAATCTTCTACTTCTTTCTTGAAGGGTTTGAGCACGTTATAAGAAAAGGCTTCCGCTTCCTGAGCAAGAATATAAACAGTGTGAATCCTAAATATCTGCAGAGTTAACTGTGAAAATCTTTATCTTTAGGTCTTTAAACAGAAAATGCACAACGGCACTCAAACTGAATAAACCTTAAACAGTTTAAGCATGAAAGAATATTTGATTTGAGTACAAACAACTTGTTTATTGTTAAGGTAAATTAAGTTCATTGTGCTTAAAACTAGTAAGTATATTACACTCATATGTCTTATCAGTTTTTATTATTGTTGTTTTTATCTTTATGATAGTTTTATATTATTTTAATTATAGTCCTGGACTGTTTTAATCCTGGTTCGACCATATAAAGCACTCTTTTAGTGCTGTATAAATAAAATGTATTATTATTTCTTACACTATTTATTGTTTTTTAAATTATACAGTCTATGATTACTGTTACTGAACTTCATGGGGGTGGCCAGGGAGACACTATATGCGGATTTAATCACAAACAACTACATTTGCTTGGAAAAGCCTCAAAATTAAGATATCTGAACTCAAAAACATTAAATTATTGTGTCATATTAGTAAAACATTGAACAGATTATCTAAAGGTGGCATTATAAATCAATAGATGTCTTTTCTCTTGAACTTAAGCTCATCAATTATTAAATTATACATGTTGATTTCTGATTTTTAACACTTTCTTAAATGAATCATAACTAATGGGTTGAATTTGACACCAAACTGGGGACAGGCAGTTTTAGGGACGGCTGCTGTTTCTCCTTCAGACGTCCCTGACATGAATTCACTCAGTTAGAAGTGACATCTCGGCTCCATGAAAGAAACATGCTTTTCATCTTGTGTTAAGAGGGTTATTACTAATACAGCTGGGACACACTAACAGTCCTTGTGCTGTACCTCACTTTATTCATCTGTTTAATGGGACAGATAGATATGATATGGTTAAAAAAAAGAGAGCGTATTACAATTATTTTGACGGATATTGTAAATTTTTCATCACAAATTTAATTTTCTGGAGAGTAAGACTTGTAGGCCAAGGCACTACAGTGCTTCATTATAATCAAATGTCAGTAACCTAATCCTAGTATCACAATATTAAAGTAATGTAACTTCATTACTTTCTGTTACTTTTGGATTACCTCAACACCAAATATGTAAATAAAAACAACAGAAAATAATGATCAATAAGAAGTTGATCGAAGTGTTTTCAATAAGACAACAGAACAATATAATTAAATATAACTGATCAAGTATTATCTTCTGTAACTGTAATGGATTACAGTTACCTACCTTTTGTGTCCTGATTATACTACTTTCACATATTTGACTTTTATCACATCATCTTATATAATGTATTAATATCTCATTATAATGTATTAATACCTCATTATAATGTATTAATATATCATTATAATGTATTAATATATCATTATAATGTATTAATATATCATTATAATGTATTAATACATATATTATTAAATGTAATTAATTACTAATTATAATGTATATAATATACTTTGATACAATGTATTATATGTATTAATATATCATTCATAATACATTGATAATGTCATTAATATACCCCAAATTATAGTGATTAATATATCATTATAATGTATTAAATGATATATTAGTAATCGTATTAATATATCCATTATAATGTATTATAATGTATTAAAATATCATATAATGTTTAATGTATTAATATATCTTATTATAAGTACTTAATTGATTAACAGATGGTAAACTGTGTTTTGTGACGTATACGCGTCGCCTGCCCTGCCTCCTCTGTGATTGGCCGATCCTGAAGCCAATCAACAGCCGCCGTCCGGACCCTCCGCACAATTCGCGCAGAGCGAAGCACGGTAAGAGACTTTCTCAGCTCTCATTTTCCTCTTTCCTGCGTTAAAACCGTACTAATCTTAGACAGCCGGTTATCCGCTGCGAGCTAACGAGTGTAACCATCGCGTCACTAAACACTCGGTTAGTCTCGGCGAGACGTTAAAACAACTTTCCGGCTCCGGCGTAGCGGAGTAGCTTAGGCACAGAGCTAACCTAGCTAAGCGCGGCTTAATGAACTAACTAACTATTGTCGACCAAACACGTGTTCAAGCTTCAGATAACGCTCAGTGTTCACCGTGGCTCCCCGCTTTTCGGTATTTAGTAGTTTAGGAACTCGTTAACCGTGAACTGAAAAAATGTTTTTCGTTATTTTGAGGCATAAAAACGAGCTGAGAGAAGTTTTCAGCCTGTGATGGCGAACTAACTTATTAGCTCTCTCTCGCTCTTCGCTCTTCTTCTCTTCCCTACTAAAAAAGAGTTTAATGTTTGTTCAGACAGCATATTAACATTAAACTGTGAATTGTTAGCCCCCTCCTTCCCTCACCACACACGTCTCGACGTTAGTTTGTCCATCACAGGCTCGCCGTATCTTCTCCAGGCAGCTAACCCCTTTTTTTTTTAATTTATCTTTTCCTCTTTCTTGTCACTCAAACGCTTGCCAACATTTGAGTTTTTTGAACTCTTTGTTGTCGTTTTATTTTTAGGTTCTTTCTCACTTTCACGGTTGTGTTAGCGTGGGGCTCGTTGAATTGGTGGTTTAAACGCGTGTTTTTCCCAGGTTTCTCAAGTGTCGCGTTGGGAGACTAATAGCCACACCCTTCTCCTCGGAAACAACTGAAGCTACAAGTTGCCACGAAAAAAAAAATCAGTTTAATTGCAGTGTCCCGAACAAAGGACACGTATTGAGCTTATAAAGAGCTGCACTTTTATTAAGAAAAACTCCCCAGAAGTAAGTGTTATTTATTGGCAGGTTAAAGTCAAATTTGTGGACGGCTTTTTCTGGGGCTCCTGAGCGGCCATGAGAATCAGATGTTTTCTGTCTGTTGTTTGAACTGAAGGTTTGAGTGCGTAATTTAGAGTTAATGTGGTGAATGTTTTTTAAAGACATGTGTGTTTTTATACTGTTTTAGTGGTGGCTGATTAGCAACAGGGTGTTTTTCGCGGAGTTTAGTTCCAGTTTTGTTTATGTAACATCATCGTGTAAAGAAGAGTCTTTGCCCTCTAAAAAGGCCATCAGGTGAAGTGTGAAGTCAAAAAAATAATAAAGTAATGATTTAAATGCTTAAAACTAATCCTGACTTTTATTTGGACAGAAAAAGCGTTAAAACACCCTGTTTTATGTTCACCCGTGCCAGTTTGTTGTGTAAAAAATGCTTAAATGCAGGGGTGAAAATGTGTATTTTAACGTTAAACGTGTGGCAGATGTGGTCGTTCATTTGTATGTGTCTTTACAAGTCTATTTGTTAAACGACATCTTGCTCGATTGTCAACATCTATAAAAGTGGGTTGCGACTGATGACCACAGTTTAAATGTGGGTGAGACTGCTCGGAGAACGCATTAGCGGGCCTGTGTGAGTGCACACACTAATAATTCGTCTGTTTTGTGTCTCAAACCTGCTTTACATTTCCTTATTGCTTGCTTTTTATTTATTTCTTTAAAACAGACAAACAAAGTGTTGTAGATGAATCCAAAAGTTTATCTAAACGGTTGCGTGGTTGCTGATCTGAATGTAAAGCGCTCTAGTTTATTGGTTTTATTTCAGGGTTCTCCTGTCTGAACAGTTTGGCGTAGTTAGCTCTCCGGCTCCGA